TACTTTGCAGGCTTGATTTGTACTTTGCAGGCTCTCACTGGGACAGACGTGTCCAGACAGTGAACCTGTGGTGAAGGGAGACGTCCCAGAGCCCTAAGGCCACCTCAGAGGTGACCATTTGGTTTAGGAGCATCTTTGGGTATCTTCCCCCACAGTGGGAGGAAGTGCCACTTTGTATTTTGTCCCAGGAAATTGTCAGAGCCATTTTATGGGGTTTTTTGTATGTTTTGTTGTGATCATTGTTACTTTACTCTCTCCTTCTCTTCCAAAAAAAAAAAAAAAAAAAAAGGTACATGTCTGACTGACAGGGATGTGGAAACCCCTGATGTCTGTTTGATTAAGGACAGAGATCCTCGAGTCTGGATTGTTTTTGATGTGATTGAGCCTGGAGGGTTACCCCCCGCCAGAGCACATCAGGTTGTCATTGTTCTTGGAGCTTTGTTGGTTGTTTTGTTGGGGCAAAGTTTTTTTGTGTGCCCTTGGTCTTGTGTGTAATGTATTAACTGTTCTCATTGTTGACTTGACTGTGACGGATGCTATGGGACAGTTCCCTTCTTCTCCACTAGACCTTTGCCTAGCCCACTGGAAGAATGTGTGAGCCACAATAGAGGGAATTGGGTTCCCCACCCCCACTCCCCGATTGAACTGAGATAAACAGGTAGCTCCTGCCAGGTGTGGCTTGCATACCATACCGTAAGAGGGACTTGCTGGCTGTGAATGAGGCCGTCCTCTCAGTGCTGATGTTCTGGTTGGTTCTTGGATTGTCTGTGTAAATGTTATTTGTTTCTGTCTACTAACCTCCCTTATTTTCCTAAAGGAAGAGGAGGAAAGAGAGGCATAACAAAGGCCACCTCCGTCCCTCCCTAGCTCTCTTGCTATCAGGACTGCAGCCAGCTGGCTGCTCTCACAAGGGTGGGGGTGCGTGCTCTCCTTACAGGTGGGCAAAGACAGGAGCTCTGGACAGGGCAATGGGGACTGCCTGCAATTGACAAAAACTGTGTGAACACTGAGCAGAGAATCTGACTTTAGTCAGGGGAGTTAACAAAAACTTTTTTTCAGGAACACTGGCAGCCAAGGACACGCTCTATGCCCACTGCTCCCCTTCCCTTCCTTTACTGTGATAACTTCAAGGTCTCTTCTGCCGGCCAGTCACTTCTCTTGTTAACCCTTCTCTGTCCTGATATTGCTTTAAAAAAAAATGTTAAATTATCAGTTCAAGATACTGGGAAAATTATGCTTTTGTTTCCACAGGAAAAATAAAAATTTACATGGGTTTTGGTCATTTGAGTTCAATGGGTTACAAATACTTGCCATCATTTAAGAGAATTGGTTTCAAATTATTATTGGTTAAGATAAAAAAAAATGTTTTAAAAAATATGTAAAATGCAAGTTATTAGAATATGTAAAAGCAAGGTATAAAGGTCTGAGGATAAAAAGGCTTAAATAATGATTTTTAAAAAATGACTTGAGATATATAAAAAAAATGAAACATGTTTTAGATTTCTTTGTCTTGCTATTCTGCTGTTACATTGAGACTCCAAAGGGTCATAGTTGTAAAAATGTCTGTCTACTCTACAGGTATGAATGAAAAATGTGGCCACATGTATGTTTGGTTTTGAATGTCTGAGTTTGCATGTCCTTTATGTTAAGGAATACAAGTTAATACTAGTCATCTGGCTATTCAGATACTAGTTTAAAGCATAAACTGTTCTATTTTAATTAAAACAAAAAAAAACTGAGCGGTATATTTGACTAATATATCTATAGGTGAACAAACTGGCCTGGTTATTGTTACCAAACTCAGAGATATTTTCAAGATTGGGCCTAGATTTGTTTGGCTCAGATACATTTAATAGATAATGGTCCTCAAACCTGTCAAAGATCTGTTAAATATGGCATTTACATTATTTGATAAAAAGCTTACTATAGCAAACAGAGACTCCAAGCTCCCCAGCTCCTAGCAATGACTCCCAAGGTCTCCAAAAAAGATATGGAACAATGACAAGAAGATGCCACCTGAATTGTGGACAACACCAACCACTGGGCAAGACGCTCTGACTTAACACCTGCTGCCAGGGATCTGGCCTATGAGACACTGACAAGATAAGGTCAGTTTTTACCAAGTTGCTCCTCAACAGGGAGAATTTCACATTATGGGCCCAGCAGCCAAGACTGATGCTGTCCTGACACCTGTCCTGCCAACACTATGAAGACTATAGGAGCCTGGGATGATGACAGTCTGGGTTATGGATAGTCTATGTTGTTTTTTAAATAGATTTAAAAGTCTGTACTCAGGTAAAGTTTATTCTTCTCAGATCTTTGATGACATTGATGACTGGACTAGCTATAGCTTTCTCAGCTTAGTAATTGATTGATCAATGGATTAATTAATTAAAGCTAATAAGTCTTTTTAAAAAAGATAAACAGGTTCTAAATATAGACTTACAGATGCTTTTCATTGGGCCAAGGAAATTTCAGTCCAGTCTATACTTGGCTGTCTGGATGGAAAGGACACTATGGATTTCAGGGCAAATTGATAATACTACAATTACTAAGACTATGGGTCTAAAAGTTCCAAATAAGTTCGTAAGTTTTAACTCCTGTTCCTAGTTTATATGTATCTCAACAGGTTTCCACTTGGCTGACAGATACATCCTAACATCATTTGCTGGTGACAACCTACTGCAAATGACTGTGAGCTCTGAACTTGCTGAAAGCTGATATGGACCAATTCAGCCAATATGCATACCATCTCTTCAGCTGGTCAATAGAACGTTCCCTCTTGTCTTTGACTAACATTCTGGCTTTCCAGGGCCTTGACAACAACGTCCCAATGTCAGCAGGAAGTAATTATAGAAGAGAAAACATCGCCCTTGTTTCCCGCCCCCCCCCCCCCAGAATGTTAGATCAAAAGGGAATTTCTTGTCATAGGGAACCTGAGATAAAGTTCCAAGTTCCTTGAGGATAAGGAACTCTGTCAGCCATCATAAGGTTTTTGGCCCTTGTGCTTCTGCTAATTATTGTTGGCTCTTATATCACTGATGTCTTAACTAAATGATAATTCATGTCTGGGTACCACTAAACTGAGGATGCTAGAATTCCAATATCCACCTCTGAACCCATGACACACTTGCAGATGGCAAAAACTGAATAAGGGGAAGCTCGCTTTGCCATTGATAAGGGGAAAACTCTTATGTTCTGGTCCAAATAGTCTCTGATATGGAATTCTTTGAGCAGAGAGGCAGATACACTCGAGAACCTGTGTCTATGACTATTGCCCTATTGTTAGGTATTGGGGGCATCACTGCAGGAGTTGGTACAGGAACTACTGCCCTCATGCAGAGCAACCACCTTATGCAGTTACAAATGGCTATGACTACTGACCTAGAGGCCATAGAAAGATCCATTTCTGCTCTGGAGAAATCTTTAACCTCACTCTCTGAGGTTGTGTTACAAAACATAAGAGGTCTGGATTTACTATTTTTAAAGGAGGGGGGATTATGTGCAGCCTTAAAGAAAGAATGCTGCTTTTATGCCGACCATACTGGTATTGTCAGGGAATTGATGGAAAAATTAAGGAAAAGGCTAGCCCAAAGAAAAAGGGAGTTTAAAGATCAGCACGGGTGGTTTAAAAATTGGCTGCAAGGGTCCCCCTGGCTCTCCACCTTGCTACCTACCATTCTAGCCCCCTTAAATGTTTTTCTCCTTCTCATTACCTTTGGTCCCTGGGCCAGATTCTGAGGAGGCCGGCCAGGAGCCCCATCAAGGACCCAGATTCAGTGTCCTAAGGCCCTAACGTCCCCACGGGTCTTGCTAGAGGGTACCCAATGACGGGAATAGTACAGGGCTCACGCCGGAGACAACAGCGTACAGAGGTCGTCGAGACCGGCTCAACATGGCACGCTGCCGAGCGTGGGAAGCCCCCTGTGTAGCCTAAGACAGGGACTCTCTCGGACCCTAGCCACCCCGATCACAATGGACTTGGTCCATTTTTGAGAAAAGGGGGGGAACTGTTAGAGACCGACTCCGGACAGCTGTGTCTTGAATTTTGTGTGACCTTCCTTACTTTATCAAACCTTGCAAAAAACAGGTTCCTGGCCTAACCGCGGGCTGTACAACTTCCTGGAGTACCTGCTAATCAGCCAGCTGCAGGGGCCTGGGACCAATGCGACCTCACCCTTCCTTAGGAATTTTCCATTCTTCTCTCCTTTTGCTTCCTCTGCTCCCCCTCCCTGCCTGAAGCCCTGCTTATAAGCCTCAATACCCAGTCAATAAACGAGACCTTGACGTGACTCAGACTGACTCTGTCTTCCTTAATGCGCCTGGTCTCCTTTCTCTCTCGCCCCCATTGATCTTTCAGGAGGTGCCTCCTCGGGTCTCCCCAATAACCTGGCCCGCGGGACGGGTCATCAGTAGACACTGTGTCCTGGCTCCCGGGCAGTCCTGACCCTTCCAGAGAGTATGATGTAGAGGAGAAATTAGTGCAATTAGTGTTTCTCCTCAAAGTTCTACTTGGGTCACCACAGCCACATCCTTGCATTGGGGGTCGCTAAGGGTGGGGGTCAGGTGGCCTCCCTGGGTTCAAGTCCCAGCGGCTTGTGCTTCTGTATGTGTCTCTCAGGCCTAGGAGACTGAAGCAGACGGGCTCCCCACTTTCTGCCCATGCTTTGCAACTACCTTCTTTTTAACACTCTCCCTACTTGGCACAAGCCATTTCTTGCCTGCCTGACCCTGACTAAGGCTCTGCTCCAGGGCAGCAGCTGCTGGAGGAGTCTGCAGATCACAGATGCTGTGGCTCAGGGTCCCACAAGTCAGGGGCTCCAAGAGCCAGAGGAGCCCCCAAGTCCCTGCTGCAAGTGGAAGACGTCATTTAGTCCAGGTAGTGGCCACCTGGCTGGACAGTGTGTGTGGCATGGGCTGGACTTTCTCATGCAGCGCATGGGAAGGACTTCAAGTCTGGCTGTAGTGCACGATAGAGAACCAGGTAGGCTGTCTCTATGATTCAGAGATGGCAAAAAGCACCGGGGAAGGGGGACCGTAACTGAAGAGAGGTGGCAGCGGGTTGGAATGTACTGGGCACTCTGTCTTGGGCCCCCAAAAGGATGTGTTTGGGAATATGACAGTCCCTAGGATTTCTGATCCCCTTCCTGACTGCAAGCCTCAGTCTCCCATCACTGAGCTTGCAAACTCCTGTTTTCTCCTAGGACTTCAGGAGGACACAGAGGCCAAGCAAAGCCAAGCGTACCTAGCCCTGGGCTGCTGATACGGAGCAAGTGTGGACAGACACTGTGATGGTGGGGGCTTTTTACTCAGATGTTCGGTTCTTTCTAGCCCTCAGCATCTCTGGGCCCCATTTCCCCCAAGGGCTGTGTGGGTTCAAGGTTGGAAGGAGACGCAACTGGAACAACCTGCCTTAGTCAGTGTTCTACTGCTGCGAAGAGACACCATGACCACGGCAAGTCTTGTGAAAGAAGGCATTGAATTGGGCTGGCTTACAGTTCAGAGGCTTAGACCATTATCATCACGGTGGGGAGCATGGCGGCATGCAGGCAGACATGGCGCTGGAGAAGGAGCTGAGAGTTCTACATCTGGATCCAAAGGCAGCAGGAAGAGAGAGAGCCATGGGGCCTGGCTTGGGCTTTTGAAACCTCAAAGTCCACCCCTAGCGACACACTTCCTCCAATAAAGACGCATCTCTTAATCCTTTCAAATAGTGCCACTCCCTGGTGACCAAACATTCAAATCTAGGAGCCTGTGGGGGCCGTTCTCATTGAAACCACCTCAAGCTCTTTTCAGTCAGGATGTGGGGGATGCTTTCACCCCAGAAGGTGACAAATACCCTTGAGAAGCACAGGGGGAAGAACAGGGCAGAAAAGGTAGGCCTCCCCTAAGGCTATATGGTTCCTACTGGGATGGGGGACCCACACTTTATGACCAGGCATCAGCCTGAACACAGCTTAAGGGCACTGGCTCTCTGTTTCCCAGAGACAGCAGCTGAAACATGACAGGCCGAGGACTCAAGTGGTGTGAACTAGTGTGAGAAGGCAGGATCTTCTCAGACAGAAAGTCCCCAAGACCTGTGAGGACCCCCAGGCAGGTTCCATTGACCTGTGGAGAGGTAAACAAATGTGTTACATCCGTGAGATGGAATAGTATTCGACCATAAAAATGGGACAAATGCCAACACGTGCTAAAATGTGGACAAGCCAGCAAAGAATGTTGCTGAATAAAAACCAGATACCAAAGATGAGATGCTGTAGAACTCCATGTATGTGAGGCTTCTGGAATAATTAAGTCCTTAGACTGTCATATCTTGGGTCTAGACTATCTCCCAGAGGCCCTGTGTTTAAGTGTGGAACTACGAGAATGTGGTGGAGTCCTTAAGAAGTAGGGCCTCATGGACTGTCTTAGGTTGCTGGGAATGTGCTCTCAAAAGGGATGGTGGAACTCCAGCCCCTTCTCCCTTCCTCTGTTGCATCCTAGCTGTGAGGGGAGTGGTCTTTCTGCCGTGATAGGCCACCACAAATCTAAAAGCAGCAGGGCCAATCAATCACAAGCTGGACCCTCCCAAACTATGGACTGAAATAAACCATCTCTCCTTGTAAGCTGATGAGCTCAGATGGTTGTCATAGTAACAGAAAACTGACCAACGTGTAGACAGAAGGCAGATTGGCAATTGCTGGAGCATGGGTAGGTAGAATGGACAGTGCCTGCTCCATGGGAAGGCATTTCCTTGGGAATGAGAAAAATGTCTTAGACACAGACGCATGCAATGTTGAGCAACACTGTGGATGTGCTAAATGTCACCGCGTTTACTGAGAACACGGTCACGGCTTGTTTTTACACACTATGTGAATTTGATTACAATCCTTCTAAAAAAGGCCGGGATCTTTGCCCTGCCCTAGAGTAGGCCAGGGAACCCTAACAAGGAGTGCCCACTGGTGAGTGGCAGCTCAGAATCACATCACATGTTGATTTGGCAGAAACACACTCTGGAGTGGCCTTCCTGTGTCTGCAAAGCAAGGCTCACCATTCGCAGAGGAAAGCCTGGGTGAGGAGAGGTGGCAGGCTTTGTTGGGGATAAGGGCATCCCCATCAGGGGCAGGGAGTGTGGGAGAGGCCCCAGAGGAGTCCTGGGAGACGGCAGTGAGTCCCAACCATTTCCGTCTAAAAGCTGAAGGGTGTGAACTGGGGAGAGGAGGGGGAGAGAATGTCCCACAGCCCCTCAGCCTCCTCCACTCTACCCCTCCACCTAGGCAGAGATGGACGCGCAATGGCTTGCTGTCAACCGTGGGCCTAGGGGTGACAAGAGTCTCACACTAATAAGAAGCCTTCCAGCCAGCTGCTGTCTCCTGAGGAGAGGACAGCAGGAACCTTGGCTAGTGCCTTCGGTCTGCATGGCACCAAGAAGGAAAGACAACCTGCGCTGGCCAAAGTCATGAGTGTCACTTGAGCGGGTCTGGAACCAACTAGGAGTGATACCCTGGGCGGCTCTGTGAGCGCATCTCTCCTCTTGATGCTGATGCTGCATCCAAAGACAGCATCTTCATCCTGGTATGGACTGAAGACCAGCGGCTCTCCGGTGATCCTCTAGGTCTTTCGTACCAGATCGGGACGGAGGCATCCAGCCTCGTGAACCAAACTGCTATCACTTCTCAGCCACTCTAGTGTGCAGATGGCCATTGTTCAACTACCCCGCCCTGTAGTGAAGCCAGTCCAATGTATCTCCTGGTGTAGTATGTAGTTATGCGGGGAGCAGACGCAGCCCTGAGTGAATGTATATTGCTCACACGAGCAAAGCCATGTCAAAGATCCTAATGCCTCATACTCATGGGAATGGCAAGACTATAGAGGTCCACTGCCACGATTAGCCTCCTAGGTGTGTCTCCGTTAGAATACATGGCCCAACCCATCCCATCCCAGCTCCACACATATCTATCTTTTCATCTTTCCCCCGTCACCCAATCAGGTCACTCCCAAAACTGTCCATGTCTAAGTAATTCATTCTCTCAATTCCGTTCCTCTGGAGAACTTTCACACACACACACAGGCACGCACACACAGAGGTGTAGTGGGTAGCCATTCCAGCTTTGATCTGGAAGTTCCAACCCCCCACTGAGGCTTCGGTAACTGTCACGCCTCCAAGGCGGGGCGAAGAGAGGACCCTGAAGACCGAAGATCCAGATGTGCCGGCTCTCTTGGTTCCTGGACCCTGGATGCTGGAGGTAGACCGAGCAGAGTTCCCCAGAGAACACCGCCGGACTGCGCTTCACCTTTCCCAGACCCTGTAACCTATCCCTTCATTTGTAAGTTACCCCACAAAATACACCTCCCTTTTAACTACATGGAGTGGCCTTAATAATTTCACCAATACAGAGGCACGCACACATGCACTCAATACGAACAGGGTGGAAGATGTCTTAAAGGAAGAGAGACAACCTCCCCTGCATGCAAGACACTAGCCTGGCTTGAGACAGATGTACAGCCCCGCCGTCACATCTCTGGGATCAGAAGTAGCCTCTGCAGAGCCAGCTCCACAACATCCGAGACACAGACTGCTCTCCAGAGCCTTCCTGGAGCTCCGCCATCTTGAGGCGTTTGCCAGACTGGAGCAGATGTTCCCCCTCAGAGCCCGACTCTTCATCTGCAGAAAGGAGACGGCAGAGCCTTGCTCTCAGGAATGGCTGCCCACTAGAGACTTCCAGGATGCCGCCAGGACAAGTCCCAGAATCCCTGCATCCAGGACAGGGCACAACCTGGAACAGAGCATCTGCCTGGCCAAGAGTGAAACTAAGCCATGACTTGAATGCTTGTCCCCAGAACTCATGTGTTACAGACCCAGTCCCCAACCTATATGCTAATGTATTGGGAAATGATTAGGATTAATTAAGATCCTACTTAATTAAATATGCCATAAGTGGCTTTAGAAGAAGAGAGAGAGGCCAAGCTGGTACACTCCTCTGCCCCTCCCCCCATGATGTCATCCACCACATGATGAAACAGGAAGCCCCTCGTCTGATGTGGAGTACATTCCAGGGCTAAGTTCAAGTATGTCCAGAACTGTGAGGCAAGTAAGCCTACTCTTTATAAATGACCCTGACTCAGGGACTTTGCTATAGTAACAGAAAGCCGCCCAGGACACGAAATAATTCATTTAGTGTTTGTGTTTTGCAGAATGTTCTGGTTGTAGGGGCTTGCTCCAGGGTTGACTAAGAGCTGTACACGGTAGCAGCACAGGACCTGGAGAGTCTAGGGTCTAGCACTCTGTTCATATTTAAAGGTTTGCCGTGTCCACCCCAGAGCCCTGGAGCTGACTCAAGACGCTGTACAGGACAACAGGCCAGATGTGTGAGTGCCACTGCCAACAGTAAGCACAGGCTTGCCCGGAGCAGGAAGTGCCACCTAATGTACCCCTTAGGATCTCACCACTCCAGGCCTTCACACAGGCACTCTGCCTAATACAGTGCCCCTCCATCAAGGTTAGTGCCACCCACCACTGCCACCATTATACCAGCTCAAAGTAGAGTGAGAGGTGGGTCTGGTGACACAGGCTTGTAATCTAAGGTATTAGGGATGCTGAAGCAAGATGAACGTAAGTTCAAATCCACCTAGGACAACTTAGAGGACCTCTGTCTCAAAATAAGAAATAAGGCCAGGCATGATGGTGCACACTTTCAATCCCAGCATTTAGGAGGCAAAGGCAGGTGGATCTTTGTGAGTTCAAGGCCAGCCTGGTCTACACTGTGAGTTTCAGGCCAGCCAGGGATACAAAGCTACATAGTGAAGGGCAGATAGGTCAGTGGTATTCTTCTCTAGCACAATCCATGAGTTCAATTCTCAGTACCTCAAAAGAAAAGAAAAAACAAAAAAAGATGGAGTCCACTTTGATCTGCTCCATAGGCACTCCTGAAGAACCACTCTTCCCCAGATAATCTCTCTCAAGGAAGACTTGACACGGGTCCACCATGACAGCCTTCTTCCCGGATCCTGCACTTCCGTGGATGATTCTCAGAGTCCCCATAAGGAAGGAGCCCTGGCCCTCAGGGGACCCAGGAGGAAGAAAGGCATGGGCCACCCAACCCTTTCATCTAGAATAGATGCAAAAGAGACATGAATTTGAAGCTGCTCAAAACCGTCTCTGAGGCCCATACCTCTCCACAGCCCTCATGAGGCAGCTGTGCGTGCACCTACCTGCTATGGCCGGATGCACATCCCACCTAAACCGTGGGTGTCCGTGAAAGTAGCTGCCTCTTCAGCACACTCACCTGTGCCCTCCCAGACTGTGCCCTCTTGACCCCAACTCTCTACAGGAAGGAATATGTAAAGAGAAAAGCAAAAGCCAGGAAAGTGACAAGACTCCCAATCCCTAACCACCAAGCCTCCATTAGGTCAGGACCGGAAGTTTGATGGGGTTGTTGCTTGCCCTTCATTGGCCCAAACAGGCTGTGGGGGGTGTCCAGGAGACCCGTGTAGACGCACATCCTGTGGTGACACAGCTATATTAAGATCAATCCATTGTGCAACAAACATTTGAATCATTCACAGAGCCCTAAGTGCTTGGATTTGAATATTCATGAGAAGCTGCCCAGAAATGACTAAAATACATGCATACATGTGTATATATAGTCAGAAAGCAAGACAGCCCTGGGGGTGAAGAATAACAAAAGGCAAATTGCCACTCTGATGAGAGGGTGCAGCAAGTGTGGGGCTTTGTGCTGGATTCATTGAAGAAGACTCATTCATTCACCAATGATGTAGGAAGCCAGAGTCACCAGCAGCTCCGCCCACACCATCACCTAGTCTACCAAAGCCAGAGCCACCGGGAGCTCTGCCCACACTATCCTCTTAGTCATACCAAAGCCAGAGTCACCAAGAGCTCTATCCACATTATCCTCACAGTCTACCAAAGCCAGAGTCACCAGGAGCTCAGTCCACACCATTCCCATAGACTACCAAAGCCAGAGTCACCAGGAGCTCTGTCCACACCATTTCCATAGACTACCAAAGCCAGAGTCACCAGGAGCTCTGTCCACACCATTCCCATAGACTACCAAAGCCAGAGTCACCAGGAGCTCGGTCCACACCAATCTCATAGTCTACCAAAGCCAGAGTCACCAGGAGCTCTGTCCACACCATTCCCATAGTCTACCAAAGCCAGAGTCACCAGGAGCTCTGTCCACACCATTCCCATAGACTACCAAAGCCAGAGTCACCAGGAGCTCTGTCCACACCATTCCCATAGACTACCAAAGCCAGAGTCACCAGGAGCTCTGTCCACACCATTCCCATAGACTACCAAAGCCAGAGTCACCAGGAGCTCGGTCCACACCAATCTCATAGTCTACCAAAGCCAGAGTCACCAGGAGCTCTGTCCACACCATTCCCATAGTCTACCAAAGCCAGAGTCACCAGGAGCTCTGTCCACACCATTCCCATAGACTACCAAAGCCAGAGTCACCAGGAGCTCTGTCCACACCAATCTCATAGTCTACCAAAGCCAGAGTCACCAGGAGCTCTGTCCACACTGTTCACACCATCTTCACCACAAACCCAAGGGGGTTTTCCCCCTCCTTTTTTCATATTACAGATGGGTAAGCTGAGGCTATTCGGTCAGTTCCATAGAGGAGCTGGAGCTGAGAGGCCTCTGGGCTCCAAGTCCTGCCTTCTCCACGCAGGACACTATCTCAGATGCTAGGAGGACTCATGCCATCCACTCAACCTTCCAGGCTCAGACTCCACAGACCCATCAAGGCAGAGGTGGGGGACCTCAGTCAGTAGCAGAGAGCTTAGGGCACAAGCGTGAGTCTTTGACTTTAGTCCCTCGCATCCATGTAAAAAGCTGGGCATGGCAGGGCATGTTTGTAATCCAGCACCAAGGAGGCAGAGACGAGGGGATCTCTGGGGCTCGTTGGCTAGCCAAATCGGCAAACTCAAGGTCGCAGTGAGAGACCCTGCGCCAGAACAGACCCTGCCCAGTTATTCTGTGAGCTTCACATATACGTGTGTCTGGGGACACACAAACACACACGCAGTCACGCACACACAGGTGCACACACAGACACACACACAAACATACAGAGACACATATGCACAGACACACATACATGCACAGGTACACACACACACACATAGGTGCACACACAGACACACAAACATGCACAGACACACATACATGCACAGGCACACACACACACAAAGCCATTGCTTCTGCTCCCTGGAATTCTACACAGTATGAGCCAGTGTGAGTAAAGAACCATCAGAAAAACAAAGACTTCCTGAAAATTAAATGCCACCATTCCCAAACAAACCAGACAACTAAAGACGAGATAAAATGGACAGAGTTGAACTCCAATAATAAAGATGAGAAAGTCTATGGAATTTTCAAACACAGCACAAGGGGAAACCAAACACAAAAATCTCAAAAGCGCACACGAAGTTAATTTACACGTACGATTGATCTTTGGTTTTTAGAAAAATCTTTGAACTTAAAGAAGAACAGGAGGAAAAGAAAAATGAAGCAGCAATAGGAACCCACCCCTCTGGGCTAAAGAAAGACTTACATGTGCAAAGTTCCTTCCAAACACAGGACGGCAAAGGCTTACTTTCTAAGTAAAATTTTATGTTCAGAAAGAAATTGCCAAATTCTAAAGACACAGAGAATCCTAAAAAGCCTCTGGAGTGAGACATCAAGTGCTTCTGTGAAATGTTCCCCTTAAGCTCCTGTGTTTGAACCTGTGCTCTCCACCTGGTAGTGGTATTTTGGAAGCCTGTGGCCTAAATAGCAGAAGTGGGTCACTGAGGGCCGACCTTGAGGATGATACGAGCTTTGGGTCCAGGCTCTCTGCTTGCAGATCTGCTAAGATGTGGATGATTGTGTCGCAAGCTCCTGCCGCTGTAGGATAAGTCACTTCTGTCACCGTGACACCTTGACTTCCCCTCAAGTCATCGTCAAAATAAATACATCTTCCCTTAAGTTGCCTCTGTGAGCTGTTTGGCCACAGCATGGAGAAAAGTATTGAATATATAGACTTGCAGAGAAACAGGATGTGGATCGGATAACCTCGCTGACTGTGGGCCCTATGTGAGAGCAAACCGAAGACATAAACACGGGGACTGAATGTCTGCTGTGCATAGACGTGTTCCTAGAGACACACTCAAGGACGGGTCTCCAGCAAAAGGAACGATAATCCAAGAAAGAGTCTAACAGGCTAGCTGCGAACTAAAAAGCCACCCACCACATCCAAGTGCAGGGTGGAAAAGCTCTAGACCTTGAGAGCACAAGGTACAAATCTAGTCAGGAATCTAGAAGATTCTGAAAAGAACATCTTCCGGAGGAAATGCTCATCGTGTTTAACCATCACTATAGTAACTGGTTAGCCCTGGTGGCAAGGAGAAGGCTCACCAAAACCCCAAATTTATGGCATGGGCACTGCCCCTGCCACTCTGTGCCTTCCTGTGTCTGAGATGAGGGATGGTTATACAATCAAAATATTTCAAACGCTGGTTATTCACTTAAATTTGTTTGGTCATGGCAGAGATAGAACCATCGGCCCAGAGTTTTATAACTTGGCATGGCTGGGAGGGGCAGAGGGGCCTCTAATCTCACTTCCCCACGGTGAAAGACGAGGGGTACTGATGAGAACGTAAGTGTGGGAAAACAGAAGTTTAAGCATGTTATATAAAGCAGCAGAGGGATTGAAGAAGTAAAATGCTAAATATGCTTGGCAGAGCCTGGGACTGCAGGCAATCTTTATGAGCATACTGTGCTGAAGTGCCTCGCTCTCTCTCCATATTCTTACAGAGCACCTACTATGTGACAGACATCTGGCAGTGTGCTGGGGATCCAATGGTAAACAAACCCTCGTCCCTGTCCTCAAAGAGCTGGACAGCCTGCTGCGTGAGAGAGAAGTCCACCGCGTTAATTAGAAATCATATCAACGAAAACAAAGCTGCAGGTGTGATATGTGAAAATGGGGTCCAACAGAGTGCAGCTTCCAGGAGCCAGCTTAGTTGGGGACCAAGAAAAGAGTAATCTGGCTGAAGCCAGATCAGTAAGCAGAAAGGGGTGATGAAAACTTCTCTGCCAAGGAAGCAGCAGAAGCAAAAGCTCTGTGGTAGAAAGGGACCAGGCAGGAGAGATAGCCGAGAGGAAGTAGGAAGCCAAGGTCCTGGAAGGTAGAGCACAAGGGACCAGGCAGTAGAGATGGCCAAGAGCAGTAGAAAGCCAAGGTCCTGGAAGGTAGAGCACAAGGAACCAGGCAGTAGAGATGGCCAAGAGCAGTAGAAAGCCAAGGTCCTGGAAGATAGAGCACAAGGGACCAAGTAGTAGAGATGGCTGAGAGGAAGTAAAAAGCCAAGGTCCTGGAAGATAGAGCACAAGGGACAAAGCTATAGAGAGGGGATTGGGAGGTAGTAGAAAGCCAAGGTCCTGGAAGGTTGAGTACAAGGGACCAAGCAGTAGAGATGGTGGCCTGAAGGTAGATCCACACACCCACAAGGGCTGCCAGAACTATTTCATTCTAAAAAGCATTGCTGTCTTCTGTTCAGAGGATGGAATTAAATGAAGTTCTCCAGCTCATTCCATGAGGCTGGTATAACCCTGACACCAGCCCCAGAGAAAAGATGGTGCTAACCAAGAAAACCAAAATAAGCCAATCTCACTTGTCAATGTCTGGGAAACAATCTTAAATTTAAAAATGTTTTATTAGCAAATAGAATCTAGGAATGAATTAAGAGGGGGGAAAAAGTCTTATGACCATACAGGTTTTAGGCCCAAAGTGCAAGGACACATAAACATTAGAAGGTCATTTAATCATTACATCTCTATAGGGATATATTAAGGAAATGGAAGTGTATGATTTTGATAAAGTATATGATGCTGACAGATGCTGAAGTAGCACTCACAAAATGTTCAATCTTTCTTTTAAACAACTAGGGAGCCAGAAAGAGAATGAAGGTTCTTGACTTGATGAAGGCTGTCTACCGACAGACCGCCACCCTCACCAGAGAAATGCTATTAGAGGACCACACAGGATCCACGGTGCCCGCTCACACAATGATGAGCCAATTGACTTAATTACGAACGCAAAAAAGGAAAGAAAAGAAAAGAAATGGCTGTTTTTTCTGAAATCACTAAGTCAAAAAAAAAAAAAAAGGCAACAACTGCAAAACCATCAGAGCTAAGACGGGTCCAGCAGGGCATTGGTCCTCACGTGGGCCAACCACAGCAGCCCAACACCATCGGAGCGTGTTACAAATGCAGACTCAGGCTGTCCCGGGGCCCCTGGTCTGGTGGTGAAACGGAACGGAGCACTAGCATGGGGGAATGGTTAATACTGTCAGCCCGACAGGGTCTACAGTTGCCCAGGAGATGAGCCTCTGGGCATGTCTGTGTTTCTAGATTGCTTAACTGAGGTGCGAAAACCCACTCTGAAGGCAAGCAGTACCGTTTATGGGCCGAGCATCAGCATCCGTCTCTGCTTCCTGACTGTGATGAGTGTGATCAGCTGCCTCACGCTGCTGCCTCCACACCTCCCTTCGGCAAGCGGAACCCACATAAACCCTTTCTCCATTGGGTTTCTTGTGACCAGTGTTCTGTGACAATGAGGGAAGGAGGCTTGTTTCGGGGTTCCCAGTGTAGCCCCGTGAACTGATCAAGACACCATTCTAGAGCAGAGCTGACAGTGGTAGCAGAGGATAGCCCAGAGATATCCTGGGGAAGGTGACACTGAAGCTAATGATTGAAGAAAGGAGAGTGGGATGAGAGAAGACGGCAGAGGGCAGAAGGTCCAGGCAGAGACCCCGCGAGTGAAGCCGACAGGACAGAGAGTGTGCTGGTCAGTTTCTGCTTGCTGTGACAGACATGACAAATACCTGAGAGAAACGACTTAAAAGAAGCAAGAGTTGTGCAGGTGAAGCAGTTCATTGGGTCAGTGTTTACTGAGACAGCAAAAGGAATTTCATTCAAATCCCCAGCACCCATGTAAGAGCCAGGCGTGGTCAAACATGTCTGTGACCCCACAGTGGTCAGGGAGCGGAGATACTCAGGAAGGAGCTTTGAATCTGAGTGCTTTTGCTCCTAAGGGATGTTTGCAGTGTCTAGAGACTTTAAGGGTGTCATCCCTGGAGGAAGAATGAGGAAGAATGTCACCAGCCGCGAGCAGTCAAAGACCAAGATGCGGCTGAACACCCAGCCGTGTGTAGAGTGGCCACATGATACAGAAGTACAGAAGTGTCAGACCCAAAGTGTCCACAGTGCTGATGATGCTCAGGACCCAAATTCCAAGAACCACATGCTTATTAGCATGTAGCAGTTTGGAGAGGAGGGTGGTGTGCACTCGGAGACATATTCTAAAGAGCTGAGGTGCTCCCCCAGAGCAATCGAGAGCCTAGGAAAGCTTTGCATTTCAGATGGAGCTGCTGACCTCAGGTTCTGAGATACCAGAGATCTCTAACAAGAAGAGCCATTGGTTCTTCCCTACTGAGTCCCCAAAAGACCAACAGGGCAAAGACAATGTCTGGGACACATTCCCAACAGTTTCTCAAATCTCCTGATTACACTGGTCATGCTGGAGGCAGCCTAGTATGTGGACCACACATCAACAGTCAGAGCTAATGGAAGCCTCGTCCCCACCATCAGGCCTCAGAGCTGTTGGACTGGGATGATTCAGAGATGGTTGCCCCTATGGGGCTTCTTTTGCTGGGCATCAGCTCTGGTAAAACACTGTCCCTCTCACCAAACCTCAGCTCACTATAGGCTTGGCGTTGTGCTCACTCAAAAGCACTCAAAAGCCCTAGGTAAAGCTGGGTTTAGGGTTTCTTCCAGTCCATCCCATGGCATAGGGTGTTAGATACTCTCCCTGCTCTATAGATGGTTACTTGGTATGGTGGTTTGAATAAGAATGACCCACGTAGGCTCATAGATTTGAACGCTTAGTCATCAGGGAGTGGCACTACTTGAGAAGGATTAGGGGGTGTGGCCTTGTGGAGTAGGGGTGGCCTTGTTGGAGGAAGTGTGTCACTGGGGGGGTGGGCTTTGAGGTTTCAAAAGCCCAAGCCAGGCCCAGTGTCTCTCTCTCTTCCTGATGCCTTCAGATCCAGTTGTAGAACTCTCAGCTCTGTCTCCAGCACCACGTCTGCCTGCATGCCGCCATGCTCCCCACCATTATGATCATGGACTAACCCTCTGAAACTGTAAGCCAGTCCCAATTAAATGCTTTATTTCCTAAGAGTTGCCTTGGTCATGGTGCCTCTTTATGGCAATAGAACAGTGACTAAGACATTTGTTCATGCAATAGGCATGAACAAATCAATGAAATGGGTGCTTGAAGGACACACCTAGAATGAGTGCTCAGGAACCTTCCTGGAGGGGGTGACCCAGCATCTGTACCCAAAAGCACAGCTAGGTGAGGGTGGAGCCTCTGCCACCTTTCTGCTACCTCGAGGTGCTTGGCAAGACTGAGTGGAAGGCAGCTGCCTCCTCCACAGTTCTGTGACACCAGTGTCCTCCTTGCTGGAACCCCTAATCCTGCAATGACCCCCCCCCAGAAGCCTGGGCCTGTTCCACAGAGGACACAGCTCTCCCAAGCACAGAAGTGAAGTGGCCGTAGCCTGTAGAGGCAATGGGTATCTACGGGGGGCAGATTCTTGACTAAAATTGGTGCTAGCAGTGGAGAGGCCAAGAATGGTTATTCATGTGTCCGTCCGACCCGTCCCCCCCCCGCCCCCCGCTGCACCCTCTTCTCCCACTTCCCACCCTCCCTCCCCTCTCTTCCAGGCCATGAGAGGTAAGTAGGTTTGCTCTGCCTCTTCAGCGCACAACAAAGCAATAAGCCTAATCAACCATGGACGTCTCTGAAAGTGAGAGCCAAAAATAAACCCTTTCTCTTCGTAAGTTGACGACGGTCTGGGGTTTTAGCCGTAATGACAGACAACTGATGACAGTCTAAGGGAGACTATGAACCACTGGAAGCCTGCTGAGTCGTGAAGGGAGAAGTGTCACTAGTGAAGTAGTGTCAGTCTTAGAAGCCGGTGACCCAACCCAGCTGACGTCGATCTGACAACCTTGGGGGTGCTACTCTCCAGTGCAGATTCGGGAGAGACCCTTGCAGCCGCCATATGGGAGGACAGCCACAGGGGAGGAGTCCCAGAGGATGGAGCAGGGTCAGCAGAGACACAAGGCTGGGGACATTTTTCCTAACTGCCGCCGTGAAGGCGACCTGGCCATTTGCCTAAAAGACAAATTTGCTAGAGGACATAGGAAGTGCCCCAGGCCAGGGGCGACTTGATTGAATGTTTTCCAAACATAAGCTCTTAAGTGCTCTCTCTCTTAAAGGGGCACATGGGGAGTGTAGATCCATGGCCCACCGGTCTATGAGCTTCAGACATGACTGTTCAGAGGGTCCTCATAGGGACTTCCACTAAATTCAGTGTCGGACACACAGAGAAGTAAAATGAATGCTATGGTGAACACCCAAATACCCACAAACTGAATGTGGCAGTTCTAGCATTTACTGTATCTTGCTGGACCTTTGAAACATGAATGTCACACATGCATACAGTCCCCTTGAGATTTCAGCACCGCTCTCCAACGATAAAGTGAGATGTTCTTCGTAGCCATGATGGGGTTCTGGCACCTGACAGTGTCCACAGAGTACCAAGCATGTCCTAAGACCGTCCCTACTCCTGCCATGGGACTCTGCACTGATCAATGATAAGGGCCAGCAGACGCCTAACGGTCACATCTGGCCGTGACCTTGACTGGGTCCCAGGAGCTCTTTGACCTCTGGCCTTTCCATCTGCCATCATCTGGCCTGGTTGCTCCCTGAAGCTATGTGGGGAGAGATGCCAGCTCCCACCCCGGCACAGGCAGTGGACTCTGAGAATGTTCCAATGGCTCTTCCTGGACAGAGTGGTCCACACCAGGCAGAGGAGAGGACTCTACCGTAGCTGTAGAGAACACTGAGGCTGCTTCTGCTTCTCGGGGGCTTCACCTCAAAGTGACGGGACTCACTCAGAGGAGAGAGCACATCTGGGGGACAGGAGGGGACATTAACCTTCCCGGACCTTTCCTGGTACCCCCTTTCTCCCTTCCCTCTGAATCCAGTTCCTTCAGTGGAATGTTTTGAAACAGAATAGAGGGTGACTTCCTGCCCCTTGCATAAGCTCAGGCCATCATCCCCCAGAAACAGAAAACGTTGGGTCTACAGGGCAGCCAGAAGGTCCCAGCCTCACCCTATGTAGCCTGGATCACCCCAAAGTCCAGTCACTGCCCCATGCCTCAAGTCTCAGCCCTCTCCCGTGTAACAAAGGGATTCTCAAAAGTACCAAAGGATCAAGTCACTGATTAGCTTAATCTCTTGGTGCTTTGGGGTGTGGTCCCAATTCCTTCACGCTCCTTGGAGTCTCCAGGATGAAATTCACTTCTCTCATGTCCATTCTCACTTAAGGGTGCTGAGGGTCTGGTGTAAACATCCTGAGGGGCTTTTCTCTAGGGGGAAGTCACTGTGTGAGGCTCAGGGAATAGGGGTGAGATACATCCAACCATCAAGAGCCCAATAGCCATTGGTGGAATTGAAGGGTAGAAGGGACAAGATCAGCTCAGCATGCAGAGTGATAATAAAGGTTCATCGCAGAAAGATCAGTGGTGTACTCAACACGTGCTAGACACTACTGTGGGTCCCAAGATGTGATCCTGAGAAGCATCAGGCTTGATGTCTGAGGACCCCGCCAGCAGGCAACACTCCTGGGCTCCAGTTGGTCAGTTCAAAGGACCCTCGGGGCCTCCTGTCCTCAAGTTCTGTGGCCTTCGGGACTTCGGAACAGAATGTTACTGGGACTTCTCAGGATGGAGGACAGATCGACTGGTGGCCCTGTGCTGCAAGCCGGGTTCTCTGGGACAGGGGAGAGCTGTGAGTGGAGTCAACTGCTTCAGGAAACAGAGGACTTCCTCCTTTCCTTCTGTGGGAAGAGATGCCCACACACGGACACGGACAGGCATACACCTGGACATGACCACACAGACCACCACATAACACACAGACAGACACACACACCTATACACAGACATGCCCACACACGGACACAGACACAGACACACACCTGGACATGACCACACAGGCCAACACATAACACACAGACACAGACACA